GGGGAGAAAACGAGCTTTCCAAAGTCTGCGTCAAGGATTTCAGTTATTTTGAGGTATCGACGTTGATTAAAACAACACTCGATTGCAAGTTTTGTTGTGGGATAGCTAATATTATCATTGATAAGGGTGTGGACGCCCAATTCAGCTGAAGAAGTAAATACGACAAAGGTGAGTTGTTATGAATTTAGGGCAGGTTTGTGTCCATGTAACATTATTTTTGTACTGAATTTTGAAAAAAATGTGTAGACAACAGAATTAACTTCCGAATTTCGGAGGATCTGGTATCCATCCCAAAAGAAACTCCGATAAACTCCAAAATTTTGGCAAAAAAAAAAAAAAAAAAAGACTTTAAACACATTTTCCGAATTTCACGAGAAATAAACTCCGAAAACACGGAACTCTACATATAAGTAGTAATCCGCGAGGGAGTCAAACTTTTCCTACGTGAGCACACCACCCTTCATTTATAACCACAGTCTAAGATATATGTTGTTTTTTTCGGTCTAAGATATATGTAGATGCGGAGACTGTGCGCGTTGCTGCTGCCAGAAAAGGCCCTCTCCTCGCCTTGGTTTCAACCGGCGCCACTAGTTGACTACCCGATGACAGGCTATAGTGGTTGCCTGCCGTAGGCGGCCCGGTTTCCCATGCTTCTCTATGGAAGACGTGCGTGTTTCCCAAGTCATTTTCTGGGTGTGCCGCGTCATGTAGAACTTTGCACTTGTGCTAGGCCTGTTTAGACACAGCTTCGTCATTGACCCTCTAGTTTGGTGCCTCAACGGCGGCAAAAACCGTTTTATAAATGCATTGAAGCGGAGAGATCTCTGGTGCTGTGTTCGAGCCCGAGTCCGTCAAGCTCAGACGAGACGCTCCGAGGGAGCAGAACGCGCACGCGCAGTAAGTGTCATGGCAACAAGACACTTTTTTTTTGTATTGTTTTTCGTTTATTCCCTCCCCCCCTGGTCGTCTCGCCGGCAGAGACGCTGTCGGAATAGACCAGTGTCCGAAATCCTAGCCCCCTGCGATAAAAATGAGAAATAATAATCTCAAACGCAGGCTTCGTAAAGAGAGGGGCTGCGCGTGAAACAAGATTTTTGCTCTTTACAGCGCTTTTGTCATCGGTGTTGTTCCTAAAGTTCGTAAAAAAACCTTGGTCTTTCAAAAAGCGCAGCCCCCCTACTGCGTCGTGGCGTCAGCATAAACAGACATGGCGGCGCCCATGGAACAGAGCAGACACTGGTCTATAGGCTACTCGGGCGCTCGCCATCGCCTCGCATGCGGCGGTCGCCCTGCAGTGTGTCCACACCTATCTTACACCGTGTTTACAACGCTCGCCCGCATTGCAAAGATTGCACCACAGACTCTCGCAACCCACACGCACGCGTATGCCCATGAAAAGATGCTTCAAACAACTAAAACTAAAACAATAAAAGCCGCCCTCTCTTTTTATAGCAGACACCCAGGTCCGGCTCTGGCTAATATATTCTCGACACCACCTACAACTTGCTACCGGATTTCGAGTTCCGAAATCGAAATCCACTCCGTTTCGCCGGCTCAAGGAGACCGCAGTTGAGTATATCCTCATCCACGGTTAACGTGTCCGAAACCGCGGTTGCATATGCGCTGCCGCTGTTGCGTATCCCCCGTCGCGGCTGCGTATTTGGCGCTGCCGGGTGATCGTTCGTCAGAGGCGGCCAGTGCAGGCTGATTATTTTTAAAGCATAAATCACTGCCGGTGACTTCTTTATTATTTTTTATTTGTGAGCGTCGATACATCATTTCGGCAATTGCGGTAAAATAAATAGGCGACGGCGCCGAAGACGAATGAACAGGATGGGGTTGGTTTTCACTTCTCACTGGCGGCAGTGGAACAGGTTTGGCACTTGCTCCAGCGTCCAAGATCTGTTGAAAGAGAGGGAAAGAAAAAGGTGATCGAACATAAATGTCGGCGCAGTACGGGTCAAAGTAAGACGCTCGAGCGTGGACGTACGCACTCGTGCCACGCGTTAAGATTAATTCCAGAGTGCGCTGGTTGGATCGACGTGTCGAAATGAGCGGCCCAAATTGCTGCGTCGAGCGTTTTTGTTTGAGCATTTCGAGTCAAGCGTTTTGAATCGAACCCTTCGAATTGAGCTGTTTCAATGACAGTTTCAAGGTGAGAGGTTCGCTTTAAGGAGGATCGAGATACCGGAAGAGGTCGGGGTTCAAACGTTTCCAATCGAGAGGTTTAAATTGAACCGCGGGTTCAGTCGAGTTTCAAATAGGGAGGCTAGAATTGAGCGGCCTTTGAAGTCGGAAGTATCGAATCCAGCAGGAAAAAAAAAATCGAGCACTTCGAATCGAGAGGTTCGTCTCGGCGGTTTCGAACTTGCGCGAATTGAAAACTTCTCGTCGAGCCGTTCAGATTGAGTTGTTGAGAATGGAGGGGAAACCGGATATATTTGCTTGTTGGAAGCCTCGATCACTCTGTATGTTTTGACATGAAACCTCCTGCGCATACGAATCTGCCATCATCTCTCACACGGCTCAACTTACATCTCAGTCATCGCTTGACTTCATTCGGCTCGATTTGGGATTTCGGCTAGTTGAACGATTGCCGAGAATACTCCTTTCGCAGCGATCTGTCTGCGTCTGCGTTCGCAAAGCTTTCCCGCGGCAATCCCCTCGCCCGATGGATCTTGCAATTTTCTTTGAAATGTCTCAATGTAAGCGATCTTGCGAATTACCATCTAATTTTGCCTTTCTCTGGGTATATATTAGATTGTATTTGCGTCTACCTCTGCTCGGCGTACATGTACGTGTTCGGTGTGGGTGATCAGGCGACACGTTTCTTGGCGTTTTCTGAACGTCTGAGCGACCTTGCTACCACACTTCCTTTTCGCCCTTTTACGCAAATGAAATTCCAGTCTCGGTATTACGTTGGTTACCAGGTAAGTATCTAATCCTACCATACCAAATAATTAGACGTTGAAAAAATAAAAACAGTCGCAAGAAAATCCTTTTGCAGTTCGAGCATATATTAGGGCCACATGTCCGCCCATCTTAAGTAGAGACGTGCGTATGTACAGGTGAGATCGAGAAAACAAAACCGGGTTTTTCTGCCCCCATAAATAAATTACGCGTCGCAGAGAGCTGAAACCCCGTGAGAATGTGACGCTAGCGGTGGTTATAAAACGCGAAAATTTGAGCGCATGTCATTACCTGTGTTAAAAGATACAAAAAAAAGGAATTTTCTATGAGCCGGTGTTTACCTATGTCTAATATTCGTCAAATTAAAATTTTGGATTATGGTCGCGTGTATTAATTATATCAGTGGAAAAAGTTGTCAGCAAAAAAGCGAACAATAGTTTCTTTCTAACGGGCACTTTTTATTTCACTAAAATAAATGTTACAGGTGTATACAATCTCAAATATTAGTATGATGTAAAATAGGCTCGGGTAAACGCCGGCTCGTAGATAATTTTTGTTTTTATTTTGCATCTTTTGATTCAGCTAACCTCTCAAAATTTTGCGTTTTATTACTACCACTAACATTATTTTCTCACGGAGTTTGAGCTCCCTGCAACACGTGACTTAATTCTGTGGGCAAAAACACAGGGTAACATTTTCTCGATCTCATCCTGTATATCTGCGACTATAAAATTCTGAATTAATTAAGCGTTGCTGCAGACATGTACCCATGCTTGAATTTTCTGGGTGTCTATTTTGTTAGGGTTTTTTCGTTTCTTTCTTCTGATGCACCACAGCACTGAAGCTTGCCCGTTTAGTTTAGTACGGTGTTATTATGCTCGAAGTTGCACTTTCGAGTGTGGTTGCTAGTCACAGATTTACGAGCACAACTCTAACAGCGGTGCACTCTGAAGATTACAGGTTGAGCCATACAAATGGCTCACCTGAACGTTTGAAAGACGAGATGTTAGGCTGTGTGCAAAGGTGGTGATTGGCGTTTCCATTATAAAAGACCAATATGACCTCAGCAATGCTACGACCGCTAACCTGGGGTCTTGAAGACACTCGCTTTGTTATTTCATGACATCCCCAGGCGGATATCATAGTCCTCCCTATTGAAGGCCCGCTTGCAATTTATATATACAACGAGTTTGAGCATCCAAAGGGTCATGTGACAGGCATTCCTAAATGTGTAAGGAGGCGAAACATATAATCAAAACTGAATGTACAACGATTCTAGGTACCGAACAAAATAGAGGATCCCACCGGGACGAAATTTCCAAGTTTAGATTTACCACGAAAGAGAAGGTTATATATACAGTTCAACGAAACAACATTTATGAAGACGGAAGAGACAGCTGAGGAGAAATATTTAGTGTGCCTTAAATTGTCCTGAAGTGCTAACCTGAATGTCCACCATTACGGCTTCTGTCTCGTTAGATGTTTGGCTTGTTGTACATTCCGTGTCTGAATATCCAAATCATGATTTCCAACAATGCAGTGCCCACTTTCGCCAAAGCAGCCCTCGAACTGCTGGAGGTGAACAGCATCGACCACCGATAAAGCAATGCCCTCTCTCAGTTGTTTGTTGTCGGCTATGCTGGAGAAGGATAGTGAAAATTTAGTGTTTCTAAAACAGCACTACTTTTCCTTAAATAAGAGTTTATATATATATATATATATATATATATATATATATATATATATATAATATATATATATATATATATATATATATATATATATATATATATATATATATATATATTAAGCAACTGAGCGTTAAAAGAACATATCGAAACTAAAATGAATAATGCATCCAGAATTTATTAACTTCTGGAGTTATATTGGTGTGTCTCTTAAAATGGTTACATAGTGATCCCATGCACGTCCGGAATATTTAATCTCTCTTTACGCTTGAATGTTAAAATGGGCAGAAAAGGCCGCTTTTTAGTGTACAGGAGTTCTTCGGAAGCTTACTCGGGCTCGCCAAAAAAAAATCATTTAGTTGTGTTGTCATTAAAAAAAATTTAAAAGAAGCCCTTGTCCCGCTAGTGGTACCATAAGCCATTATACAGCGTATAAGTGATAACATATTCCTGCGATGCGACCTCCTAGAAGTCTCAAGAGTGGTGACCGGCATTTCATTCAGGGACACGACATTTTCAGGGATTCCGCTTTGTAACACCCAGCAGGTTACTTCTCAAGTTCTTCCCGCCCACCTCGACTACTTTCGTGCTAACGTTATCTCACCTGCTTAGTGGAGGTACTTGGAACCGTAGCCACCGACTCCGTAGCTACCGACTCCGTAGCCTCCGACTCCGTAGCCATAGCTGGGTCCCAGGCTCACGGTCTTCGCCACAGCGGGCGCGGCGTAGGCAGCCACCGCGGGAGCAGCGTAGGTCACGGACTTGGTGACGGCTGGGGCAACGTACGTGGCGCCGTAGCCGCCGACGAGACCGCTGTAACCTCCCCCGTAACCGCCGAGGGCACCGTAGCCGCCGTAGCCGCCATAGCCTCCGAGACCTCCGTAACCGGCGAGACCGTGACCGTAGCCGTAGCCGGCAACGGCGGGTGCAGCGTAGGTGGCCACAGCTGGAGCGGCGTAAGAGACGGTCTTGGCAACGGCTGGCACGGCGTAGGCCCCGTAGCCGCCGTAGCCTCCAAGACCTCCGTAGCCACCGAGACCTCTGTAAGCGGCAACACCGTGACCGTAGCCGTAGCCTGCTACGGCGGGTGCTGCGTAGGTGGCCACAGCTGGAGCGGCGTAGGATACGGTCTTGGCGACGGCGGGGGCGGCGTAGGCTGCGTACGCTGGACTATGGTAGGTGGCGCCATAAGATACGGTCTTGGCAACGGCCGGGGCAGCAACCACGCCGTACCCGCCGTAGGGAGCGGCGTACGCGCCACCGTAGTGCGCGGCGGCGGGGGCAACGGCCACAGCCGGAGCGGCGTAGGTCGCTCCGTAGCTGGCCACGGGGGCAACGCCGTAGCCTCCGGCCAAGGCCGACGCCACCAGGGCGAGGAAGCCGACTGCGGACTGCAAGAACAAAGTGTAACGGTACAATTTTTTTCCGTGCTAAAAATTGTTGTGGTCAGTTTTTAATCTTATTGCGAGCCTCGGGGAACACAAAAATCTGCGCGAACGTTCACGTTTAGGCAGTTCTGAAGTGGTTGGGCTCCGGATGAGAAGATCGGCATTCAAGCGTAGACTTCTGGTGCACTGAAACGTGCATGTGCTTAGTGAATTTATCTATTTTACGTCTTCACATTCAGCGACGTAGACTCAAAAGTTAAAACATGTTTTGCGTGGTGTCGGGAGTTATCCTGAGACTAGGTTAAAATATTATAGGTTTCGAAATGGGAAAAGAGAGAAAATAGTTAAAAGCAACTCCTCGGCACGTTTTGCTTTCTTTGTTAAAGTACCAGGTTAGCTTTCATCGTGCTAAATTTTCATCAGCTCGCGTCTACTCCAGTCTTGATTCTTGTTTTCTTTTTGTGCCTGGTTACGGAGGTCTGTGCTATCAAACTGCAAGAGTTGTTCTTAATTTTTTTGTAAAAGCAAGAAAGTTGTTTTCAAGTCTGCATCCAGTTATGCGATGTCCTAGCTTTTCGACAGTATTGGTGCTTCTGATCAACGTGTCATTATAATCTATATCTAGCAATTAAAAAAAAACACAGATGAATACAAAGCTAAAATAAACTTGCAGTGGCATCAAATAAAACGTGCAGAAGGGGCATTTACTTAAATATGTTTTAAAAAGGTTAATCCATACGAAATTTAAAAAAAAATGTGGAGGAAATAATATTTTGTTCAATACGTTTTGCAAGGCTTACTAGAACGTGTTTGCCAAAGAAATCTGTCTCCTTTCAACATACTGAATAAAAATAAGCTAAAAAAAGACCTTTTAGATCCGCTGAAGACTCTGGCATCCCTGACCAGAGACCTGAACTCAACACGTAATCATCCCTGTTCTACCAGTTTATCAAAGTTTATCGTGTTCCTTTTATATATTCATTCATTTTCAATGCCGGCTCCATAGTATATCACGAAGATTCAGATAGTTGTCCGTCGAAGGTTTATAAGATGCCACGCCGTCCTTAAGACACACGCTGAACCATGCATGTTTTAGAAAAGTTAGTGTAGGTTCGGCCGTTAATCCGTGCTCGATGTGCCTCGATTTAATAAGTGGTCTGCGTTTGCTGTAAGACAGAAGAGCTCAGATCCGAACTCTAGGAGGCCAGTACTCACCAAGAATTGCATGTTGCTAGTGAAGAAGGTAAACGTCAAAATTGTCCAGTGGCAAGGATAAGAAAGTGAACTGCGCTACGAGCCTGTGCGATGCGATCTGCTGCAATTCTTCGAGCAACGGCGCTCTTTTATAAGCCCCCCTCTCAGAGCACCCCCCGTGGCCGTCTCCGGCGGAAAAAGGGCGAGCCCCTACCGTGACCCCCATGGGACCCGGGGCCCCTCCCCGCCAAGACAGTCCGTCTTGTTCGTCACATCTCTCGCGGTGTCTCGCGAGACGCCGCGAGAGACGAACCGCGGAGGAGAAAGGAACGGCAGCAAAAAGAGGTCAACCGGCGGGCGTGCCCCGCCGACCACCACCCGAACTCAACTCTCTCTTGCAAGAAGCATCTACCCTCGCCGGCCAGCAGACACAAAGAAAAACCGACCGACTCTCGCACCCTTGACCGATCCCTCCTCTATTTTTCTCAGAAGACGTTTCGGAAGTCCGTCTGCGCCCCTGTTCACCTTCCGCGCGTATACCAGGACCAACCATGTATGACGCCCGACAGTTCTCGCCGGGTAGACCTCTCGCCCTTTCTGCTTGTTCTCAAGCACCGCGGGCCCTTCGGATGCCAAAAGCAAACGCCAAGGTCCTCCGCAATCGCCAATTAACGGCAGCGAGTCGGGAACCGACTGCGAATTTGGCGTTGGCGTCGATGATTTGCTTCGAGTACACCGGAGCATTCGCCCCGCAGTACCGCAGCGCGGGATTTATGGCCACTGATGACGCCTAATATGTCCGGCTTTGTTGATCGTCGCGGGCCATGAAGAGTGGCGCGTTTTGTGTCGTTGCGGCACCTCCCCCCTTCTCGCCATAGCCGCGGATGTAGGCTAACCCTTGACGGCTGCCGGCTAACGGCGACGCCACTTCCAAGGGAGTTTAGTGTCTGTGTTCCGGCAGGGCCGAAGGACAGCAGCCCTGCCCCTGCAGAATGTCTCTGGTTGTTGGGACGACCACCGCTCTCCCATCGGCGTAATGGACATCTTTCCAGAACCACATTGTTCTTAACAACAAGAGATCTTATATCCCGCAGTTTTCCGAGGCTCCTCAAACTGATTGATGCATGGCGTCCATTCAGTTTGCTCTCGTTCCATATTTCTTTGGAAATATTGACTGGGTCCGTTATGAACGATGCTGCTGTCATTGTGTATTGGTTGACTTCTTATTTTGTCGTTTGTTCGGTTTGAAACTGAGCTTTTGGTTACTTTTGTTGTATGTCCCTTCCAGGACGCTAGTTTCTTTCGTGACGGTGAAGCACACCGGGAAGTCCTTGTCTTTATGATGGGAAGGGACGGTATTTGCTGGGTCGCTACCGCTCGCGCGAGAGACGTCGAGGTTTGTTATTTGAAGCAATCATCCATCCTCTGTGATGTTAAACCGATTATGCGCTCGCGGGGTAGTTGGGCGTTGTAGCCCCGAGGCGCCTTTTTTTTTTTCTTTTCCCTCTTGATGATCACTTACAGAAAGAGGATTAGTTGGTGAATACACACTCGCATGGAAGCCAACGTAATAAAATATCGGCAAAAATTACATTCAACGGTAAGAAGAAAGACGCGAAGATTACACGAATTACTAGAACGTTGAGCGCAATTAGCCTTACAGCGTTTTGTAAATGATGCCCAGGAGTATAGAGCGTCCACATGGGAGCTAGAAGAGTGTGGCTGCCGTTTGTGTGTATGATTAGGGTACCGGCTGATCGATCTTTGGGAAGCTAATACATCGGCCAAGAAAAGTGCAAACTCACTTTGTGTGGTGTGTATAAGAAACGATCTTTCAACTCACGGTTGCGGATAGAACTGAGCATCACGATTCCTGTCTATTCAAACGTAACCTAGAGAACATGACGGTCTTTCGATTAAGGAATGATGAGCTTTCCATACAGATTAAACCCACAGATGTCTGACTAAAAAGGTCATGTCTCCTAGGTTATTGGAAACTAAGTCTGTCTATCGTCGTTGCGGTCTTAAAGAACGCTAAACGTGGAAAGCTTCAAGCATCTCATTATAACCCCGCTGTTAATCAGATCACGTCATTCGCCAATACAAACGTCCGAGAATGAGTTACGAAGCGTTCAGTAACTATACATGTTGTAAGTATTATGCTGTCAGCAATTATGCAGACATCAATATCGTGGCTCATGCCACGGTTTGGTGAGGCGCACAGCACAACATGAAAGCCGCCTATCTGTTTCCGCAGCATAATTTTCCCAACTGTGAAAAAGTTTTTTTTAATTGAATAAAGCCTTTGCACTACCTGCGCTTTCAATTACATGCGCGGCACATATTCATTTTCAAAAATGTTTCAGCTAAAAACCTAAACTTATCAATATAAACGGTTCTTTTAAAAGAGGCTGCACGATGACATAATTTTGGTTTTACTATACCTCCAGGGAAGCTCTCTGATTTCTCTGTCTATCAGAAAACAGACATCGTCCGTTCGGTTAGGCTGTCGGACGGCGTCATTCGCCCACAATTTTTTTTTAGATCGTTTTAGTTTTGGTAGCTGTAAGATTTGAATATTTAAACACATCTTACCCTATCCTCTGCCGCTGGCGGGTTTGGTCGTCGAATGTGTTAACGCACCGCAGCCCTCTGCACTTGGAGCGAAACCTCGCTCTGAGTTCTCCTAATAATATTTGGTTTTGATCCCCACTATATCCAAGTTCAATATGGATAAAGATCGCACCGGCGTAACGTGCACCAAACAGCATCACTACTGCGTGGTGCACGTCAAGGACCTCAGGTTCGCGGTGGTATAGTGCTCTCGCTAAATATCCCGCTTAGAGCGGAGACTACACACGCCAATTGGGTCTGACTAATTAGTACTTTGACGGTTCGAAAAATACATACAACGGAATCACAACCTTCTGGCATTACATTGTAACATTGTCGGAAGGAAGGAAGTAATAACAGAGGGGGAGACAGAAAGGTAAACGTTAACTGTACCGCTTTACTCTGTGCCGGAATTATACACTATCGAAGCCTTCGGCCATGCCGAATCTCATCTTGCGGAGCACAAAAGACTGTTTATTCTTCTTACCTCTGACCAATTATTAACACTTAGAAGAAAAAAATAATGCTACCAACAAACTCCTCTTACTCCACATGACATCATAACAATAGGAAGTAGCCAGCTAGCTCAGTCATTGGGCCAATGCCCGACGACGAGCGTCCGATCGACGTCTTTGCTGGACACGAGGCTTAGCGAAACGCTGACACGGCGCTCTCTTCTAATCTGTGTCTGCGTCCGTTCTCGCAGTGATGACGTCGTAATGCTGGTGCACGGATCGGGATTTTTCTAAGCGGTGTTGGCCCGATACCCTGTACGTAGTACTTCTCTTCCTGTTCCTTCTTCCGCGGCAAAGCAGAAATTCCCACGTCGACCGCCTCGCCGCATACTCTCGTTGAGGTTCGGCGTGTTCGCCACACTGAGGCGAGTCTGCTATTCACTAAGGATAACGTTTTGCGCAGACTTTGTCTTCTAGGTGCAAGTAGCACGCCTTGCCTGCTCAAGCGGGGTATAGGTTGTGCCTCGAGGGCACGGTGATCAACACGGATCTGTTTACGTAAAGTAACCTAGCATCCATCGATAACAGCTTTGACGGTGCAAAACGGAGCTTACGATACGTAAAGTGACCTAACGTCCATCAATAACAGCTTTGGCGGTGCAAAATGCAGACTGCGAAATCGCGTTGTCGGCACTCCCTCAAACAGCAATGTATACGTCTACCCGACAAGAGAATAATCCCTATACTCCATCTCGGGAGATCCGCGACGGCGTCGTGAGCAGTACGACCTCGAACGCGTATCGCTTTGCAACGTATTTTTACGGCGACAATGCTTGCCGAAGCAAAGCGTTTCGTAAAGCTACATGTCCTCACGCTTAATGTGTGACATAAGTATAAGTATACCCGTGTCGTTCCTTGAACCGACTGCTTATTTCGCGTTCGTACCTTAACGTAACATCTGGTGCAAGGTGAATGGATGGACAAGTAAAACAAAAAGTGCGGCCGAACCCTCTGAATCAGGCGGCAGCCTGCGCTACGTTGCGGATTATGAGCTAACTAATTCCGTGTGCCTATCAATACCGGCATCTCAACGCACAAACATGTTTGTTTTCTTTTTCGTTGACGAAATGTTTTATTTTGACAAAGAAAAAAGTACAGGTGTCCCAAAAAGAAATGTACGGTGTTTTTTTACCGTCAAAAATAAAATATGCGTCGCCGAACGCTCATTCGCCGCCCAAATGTATCACTAAAGGTCCGAACCAGACTCCAGAGTTTCAGCACTAACCGATATCTTTTTCAAAAGTTATGAGGGATTTTTAAAAAAATTCAATGGACTGGCCCCTTTTCGCCCATTTTCGGTTTCTGGCGCCGTAGAACTCCATGCACTCGAGAGCTCCGACGGCCGCCATTTTTCCATTAAAATTTTCAGAAAATCCTTTTTAACTTTTTAATAAGTACTGAAACTCTGACCTCTTGTTCCGACCTCTAGCGCTACATTTGGGGTGTGGAATGAGCATTCGGCAAGGCGTAGTTTATTTTTTCGGAGCAAAAATATACGTAAATGTTTTTTGGGGTACACCATGTACAAAAACTGTGGAAGGTACACTGCATGTCTGAATCTCTGAAACGGCCCGTGATTGCATACACCATACTTTCATAGCTATTCTCTAAAACACAGACTTACGCCGGGCCAGAGGAATCGAGAGACTTTAAGCATATCGGGACGCCGCACTCCAAAAACAGCAAGCTGTTGAGCTTACTTCAAAAGTCGCTTCACTTTCGGACAAAATCCGTTGAATAGTTTGGGGCAGTTTAAAAGACGCAGCGCGGCTTGGCTTAAAAAAATATTTCACGCGTCTAGCGTGTCGTAGTTCGTTCTTAGGCTTTCTTACCGGTTAATAACGTAATCTCATTGACATCAAGGAGATAATAAGGAGCTTGGGAGAGATCGCGCTACTAAAGCCG